TCTTCTTCCTTTGCTTCTGTGTTGTCGTGATGGTGCTGCAGGAACCATCCCAGGCCTACCCTGGCTGTGCTCTGTCTTCTCTCTGTCCTCTCCGTGTTCCTCCGCTCCTTTCGGGCTCCTCTGTCAAACAGGAAAGGTCACCTCTGAGTGAAGTTCAGGTCGCAAACCTCACAGCACGACGCAGCCAGGCCCCAGGACCACAGGCTCCTGTAGGGAACTTGGGGGTTTTCACACTCATTGCATCCCTGCCCTCCAAAGGTTGGAGCTGGAAGGGCTTCTCCAAAGCTCCGGGGGTGAAGGTGTCCTTCTGTAAACGAGGAGGAGCTCTGGGGAAAGGCAAATAATTGCATGGTTGAATGTGGTTGGACAAATTAATCTGGTAGGAAACATGTCATGAGGCTGGTAGGGAGCATCTGGATGCTCCCTGTGCCAAAGGAGGGCTGGCAGGAGGCGTGTGGCACCCTTCGGGGATGGGTTTCCTGGTCACCACCCCCACGAGTGTTTGAAAACCCCCCGAACAGTGTCCCACCAGCAGGAACGAGATGGGGATAGGGGTGGTCTCTTCAGCCTGGCAGGAAGAGAGAGGCAGGGAGAGCCAGAGCTTCATTTTGCAAACATATTTTCCTCAACTCCCAGCCCCCTGTGACTCTGGTGCTCGTGGCCAGGTCCCCCCCACCAAGTCAGGAGCACTTCTGCAAATGGGGGCTGCAGGTCGCTCCCCTCTGGTTGTCACATTCGTCTTGGTCAGTCCAAGGTGACGACAGAGATGGACGGTCTCTGGTTAATGCAAAGCCAAAAAAAATGCACTAAAAAAAAAAGTGTCTGGCAAATAGTGAATTGAGTGAATCAAGGTCTCTCTGCTGCCTCAAGTCCAGACCGTTCTGTCCAGGTTGGCTCTTCTTCCTCCCTCCAGAGTCTTCTTCACATGGCTGGTCTCTGCAATGCCACTTCCTAGGTTTGCATGAATCTCTCTTCAGTTCTCCATCAGCCCTGTGCATCACCACAGGCCAGAAAGGTGCTAATTCACTCCGGTGACACACAAAACTACCTTCTCAACCAATCTGAGGTGCTTTCAGCTTCCAGAAGCTGGTGCTGGTGTTTGAACCGTCAGCGTTAGTGCACTGTATCCATCCACCCTCTCATATTTATGTATAACCACCAAAGTTACGATTGCTCGTTGTTGTGAGGAGTGCATATTCCTGTAGCTTTTTTTTTTGGTACTTTTTTTTGGGGGGGGAGGGGGGGCAGAAGGGGGATCTTTTTTTTTTCCTGGTACGCTGCCGCCGCATGGGGTGGGGGAAGTGTATGTATACTGTATTTGGGCTCACGTCAAACTTGAAAACTCTTTTTTTTTTGCATAATGCAGCTCCAGACTCTGGATTTTACAAGAGTCCCAGAACTTGTGACAGGATGGGTGGCCTGATGATTAGGGTGGTGGTGGTTTTTTTTTATTATTTTGTTTTGGTTTGTTTTGTTTTTCCAACAGGTGCTTTTTAAAAAAAAAATAAAATAACTATTAATAATAATAAATTAGCAGAGGTGGGTTTGTGTGTGTGTGTTGAGCCACAAGTCTCAAATGAAAAAGCTCAAGGTTTCTTTCATTCCTCTCTGGTGCGGTGTTTTGGTTTTGTTTTTTTTTTTTATTGACATTTCTTGCTGGTTGTTTTTTGGGAAGTGTTGAAACCCAAAACCTGTGCCCCCCACCCCCGCCCCCTGTCCCGCACAGAGAGGTGGCTCTTTGTGGAATTCCTTTTTGTATCAGAAGCAACAGCAACAATAAAATTATTTTGGGTTAAGAGGGTCTGTGTCTTCCTCCTCGTCTGGGCGCAGCATCTTCTGGGGCTGGGGGTGGTGGGGAGGAGCATTCCCAGCCTGGGAACTGGGCTGGACCCATCCAAGCTCCAGCTCGAATGAGCCCAGGCTGGTTCCTTGCCCCTGCTTCTCAGGGACAGATTTTTCACTCTTGCACCTTCACCCAGCTCTTCCAGCCCTGCCTGTCTCAGCACCTATTGCGGTCCTTCCTAAAGCCTCAGATCTTCTGCAGATCACAGACCCACAGAATGGTTTGGGTTGGAAGGGAACTTAAAGCCCACCCAGTCGCAACCCCTACCTTGGGCAGGGACACCTCCCACCAGACCACGTTGCTCCAAGCCCCCTCCAACCTGCCCTTGAACCCTTCCAGGGATGGAGCAGCCACAGCTTCTCTGGGCAACCTGGGCCAGGCTCTCACCACCCTCACACCAAACAAGTTCTTCCCCACAGCTCAGCTCCATCTCCCCTCTTTCAGTGTCAAACCCTTCCC